AATACTGCATGCAGTTTTGGTTGCCCCATCTCAAAAAAGACATACTGGAATTGGAAAAGATACCAAGAAAGGCAACCAAAATTATTAGGAATATGGAACAGCTTCCATACAAGGAGGGATTAAAAAGACTGGGACTTTTCAGCTGAGAAAAGAAATGACTAAGGGGGAATGTGATAGAGATCTATAAACTCATGAATGGTGTGGAGAAAGTGAATAAGGAAATGTTATTTACTCCTTCATATAACACAAGAACCAGGGATCACTCAATGAAATTAATAGGCAGCAGATTTAAAGGAAACATAAAGAAGTACTTCTTCATACAACGCACAGTCAATCTTTGGAACTCGTTGCCAAGGGATGTTGTGAAGGCCAAAAATATAACTGGGTTAAAAAAATTGGATAAATTCATGGAGGATAGGACCATCAATGGGTATTATTGAAAATGGTCAGGAACATAACCCCATACTCTGGGTGTCCCTAAACTTCTGACTGCCAGAAGCTGGGACTGGATGAGAGGGCATGGATCACTTGAAAATTGGCCTGTTTTGTTCATTCCCTCTGGCATGGGTCACTGCTGGAAGACAGGATCCTGGGCTAGATGGACCATTGGTCTCACCCAGTATGGCCATTCTAAGATATTTTTTTAAATATTTTTCTCTTTATCTTACTGGCTATTCTATTTCATGTTTTAGCTGTATGGACCAAACCCTATGGTAGTCCCTATTGTGTTAGTTTAGAGCTTTGCCTGAATGCCTGAAAAGAAACTGCAGAATTTGGGCCAATCACAGTTTAAATATTTTCAGTTTGAAAATATCATTGATAGAGAAAGTCCATTGTTCTAAGTAACAGCACAGGTCAGGAATAATGTATATCTCCTTTACTCAACACATTTCCTGAATGAAAAACAACTGAGTTGGAGATAGTTCATTGGCTGAAGGCTGACTGCCCTTACTTACAGCATGATAGTAGTTAAGATGACATGATGTTGCTGACAAAGTTGGTGCTGGAATATGTCAGGTGAAAAAGTCCAGCATATTAGTACAAACCTTAGGAATTGGTGGCAAATGTGAAGATTGCACTCATTTGGGAATGTGGTGTTCAGACACATTGCACCTCATGGGCTAAAATGCTGGATTGTATCCTAGAATGTAGACATCAAGAGTTCCTGACAACAGCAGTTAAACCTTGAGCTTAGTATCAGTAAATCATGTTGATGACAAGGGCACAACATTCATATCCTTGATGGAAAATTCTGTTGGACTACTAGATGTTACAATTATGTCATCATCCCTGTTATCCTATGCTTCACATGGAGCATTGTTGTATTTATCAAGCCCTTTGGGAATGATACAGGTAGTAAAAAATGTAGATAATGTTGATGAGTACAGCTGACATCCCACATAATCTGGCAGAACGTAGTGTCTTGTGAGAATAAGGGGGCCTAAATATATGGTCTTCAAATATATGCTGGAAAGTTAGAATTTCTATAAAGTAAATACATGGGACTATAGATGAAAACTCAAATTTCTTCCTGGATCAGTAGGCATTGGATGTTCTGTGGAGGCTACATGTTCAGCCTTTAGAAAAGGTGAGGTTAGGATAAACAAGCACCCTACATTGCTCTGTGGTGGCACATCTGACAGTCTCAGGAGTGGGGTTGATAAACTGTAGAGGGGAATTATGTGATGCACTAAGCTGGAGGAACATCCTGCATGATGACAGTGAGCAAAATAAAGGGGAGCATTTGAGGTATTCTCAGAGCAATGGGGGCAACGTGAGCACAAATTCTCTAAAATGAAATTTTGCTCCTACACACCTTTTATTTTCCATTCGTTTCGAAAGCTTCACATTTTCATTTTGGACTGAATGTGCTTTGAATATATTTCCACATAAAAAAATAAACAAATTATTTTTTCCACAAAAGACGCATATTGCCAAAGTGTGACCTTCCTGTTATTTAAATAACTTAGAATAGAAACTGTGACACTGGGAAAGACAAGTTCTACCTTTATTTCCCTATATATGTTTAGTAGATACTTAAAATGCATACCCTAATCTGAGCCTGTTTATAAGGCATGAAGTTACCCTTGTTTTGTTTAGCCAAATGGTCGAAACACTGCCAAAAGTATGTCTGGAATGTTATTTACTTGATACATTTCTGTGGTTTTTCTTTGTAGCACTGCACATGCCACAGCTAGGGGTCATTTACTTAAAAATGACCAAAGTAATACCCCCAAGTTGCAGTTATTCTTCTCAACAGGGGGTTGGTAATCAAATGGAGTGTCTCATCATGTTCAGCAGCTTCTGTGCTTTTTTTCCACTCCTTTTTTTGTTGTTGTTCTTGATAATCTGAGTTGATTTTTGTAGAGATTTGGAGAAGCGCTATTTATTCTTGCTCTTTGTTCTCTGTAACTTGATTCCTTTACTAGTGCTTCAGCTTTTTGCAATGTGTGTTGTGATACTAGCTGATTTAAGTGCATTTAACCTGCTTTTCTGAACTATTATTATTTTATAAGAAGATGGTTATTGTATGGATTTTTTGTTATTGTTGTTTGTTTAACCACAAGACACGGTGTTTTAAGTTAAGATGTCAGATCCAGTCATGTAGACTAAGTTGCAAGAGAACTGTGGGTGTTTCAACGTTTCTAACGAAAGGGTAGGGCAGGTTGGAGAAGATCTTTGATGAATAGGATCTGCTTCTTGGAAATATCGTAAGGCCGTGTGGCCCATATTCAGGAGGTGAGACTTGACTCTAAAACTTGCTGTTCTTTACCATTATGCTGCATTACCTCGAACTGTGTGGATCTTGGAAAATGTTTGGGATATGGATTAAGTGGAGGCAGAGGATACCTGAGATTAGAAGGGAAATACTGGATGTTGATCCATATGCATAGGGTTGCCAACCCTCCCGGTTTTGCCAGGAGTTTCTCGGAATTGGGGTCTATCTCCCGGAGGCTACTGAAGCCAAACTGGGAGATTTTACGCCGCTAAAAGTCTGGTTGCACAGCAGGGCTAAGGCAGGCTCCCACCTGACCCGGACCCATGCCGTTCCCTGCGGCTCCTGGGAAGGTCAGGGAGCTCCGTGCGCTGCCCCTGCCCGCAGATACTGCCCCAAGAGCTTCCATTGGCCGCAGGTCCCATTGCTGTGGAGTCAGCGCTCGGGGCGCGGGCAATGCGCAGAGACCCCTGCCTCCCCCCCCAGGGGCCGCAGGGACATGCTGGCCACTTCCAGGAGTGGTGTGGGGCCAGGGCAGGCAGGGAGCCTACCTTAGCCCCGCTGTGCAGCCAACCAGGAGCCACCTGAGGTAAGCGCCACCAGGTCAGAGCCCTCACCCCCTCCCACACCCCTGCCCTAGCCCTGAGCCCCCTCTTGCACCCAAACTCCCTCCCAGAGCCCGCATCCCTCCCGCACCCCAATCTCCTGTCACAGCCCTGAGTCCCCTCGCAGAGCCTACACTCAGGGCCGACGAGAGCGGGGGAAACCAGTACAAATTACCGGGGCACAGCGGTTCAGAAGGGGGCCTGGCTTCCCCCCCCGCCCTTTCGTCGGCCCTGTTTAGCCAGTCCGCCCTTGCTGGGGGGCCCGAAAAATTTTTTTTCACTGGGGTCCGAACCCGCTCTCGGCGGCCCTGCCTATACTTGCACCCCAACCCCCTCCTCCAGCCCTGAGCCCCCTCCAGCACCCAAACTCCCTCTCAGAGCTTGCACCCCACACCACCTCCTGCATCCCAACCCCCTGCCCCAGGCTCAGCCTGGAGCCCCCTCCCACACTCCAAACCCCTGCCCCAGCCCGGTGAAAGTGATTGAGGGTCGGGGAGAGCGAGCGATGGAGGGAGGGGGTAGGGCCACAGAAAAGGGGCAGGGCAGGGGCGAGGCCTCGGGAAAGGGCAGGGCAGTGGTGGAGCAAGGATGTTTGGGTTTGTGTGATTACTGTTGGCAACCCTACATATGTATGAAAGGACCCTAGCTCTGTCCCTTTTCCAGTCCCATTTGTGGCACTGGCAGCATTGGGCTGGTAATGCTCCTTTAATCCCTTGGATAGTAACCACCTAAAGCCAAATTCTGCCACCCTTACTCACACCAAGAAGTACCTTATTACAAGAGTAGTTAAGTAACTTTACTGGAGCATTGAATTTCTACTTGACATAAGTGTAGACGAAGCTGTCTCAGAAAGCAGAGCACAGCAGCCATAATTTGCAATACAATTTAAGCATTTTCCTTAGTGAATTATACCACATATAGCATTTTCCCCAACTCCTCCCCCATCAGACCAGACCTTCCCTTAGTACAGGGGTTCTGTTATATTCATTGAGGTGTGGTGGTGACTATGCAGAGTGGAGAAGAACACACCATGTATCCACATTTCCCCTCTGCCTTCCCCCGACTGTATCCATGTGGTAAAGGGCTTTCTGCTTCCCTGCGCACCTCATAGAATGATTGAAGCATATGGCTCTTAGACTGTATCATGTTTGTTAACTTGTCTGGATTGTAACAAATCAAATATGGCTTGTGTGTGTGTGTGTGCTTTATCCTACGTGCTTTTTTGTTGCCTTTGGATAGCAACTTGTTTTCTTTTGAAACCATTTAGCTGTATTTATTTCCTACTTGGATCATTTTACTGAGAAATACCTCTTGTCTGTATTCACACCCGCTCTTTTTTTATTATCCTAGCTTAAATATAAATGCTTCCACTGAAAGAAATCAGCCTTGTAATTTGAAAAATGTAAAACTTTGGTTTAAGTTACTTATTATAGGTAATATATGTTTGATGGTTGAATATGAAAAAACTACTTGGCAGAATTTTAGCTTGAATCTCTGCCAGACAACAATAAAGTGCAACCTAATTCCTAAAAACGCCCAAGCTATAAACTACCTGTCATGACCTAACATGCATATAGTAATAACAGGCTGACAAGGCTAATAAAGTCTACATATTACTATAGCCACGCAATGCATGCTGTAACAGGACTATAATGTGTTTTGTCCTTCATATTATGCAGCCCACACATCATCTTCCTGTCACAAAGCGTATTAACTGGAGGGAGCCATCTCTGTGGAACACGTCTGTGCCACGAAATTGCTCATGCTTGGTTTGGATTGGCCATTGGTGCTCGTGATTGGACTGAAGAATGGATAAGTGAAGGGTTTGCTACTTACTTGGAAGATGTATTTTGGGCAGTAGCACAACAGGTATGAAGACAGATCACCATTCTGTTTTATAATGTAGAAATTAAGATGTCTCTAACTGAATGCCTTAATATTAAATTAAAAGGAATTACTATAAATCTATATTTAAAAGTAGTATGTTCTGAGGCTACATCTGTTAGAATGCAGATTCCAGTAGCATTATAAATTGGTTTAAAATTCCTTACTTCCACACCTATCCACACTGAACATGAACCTTTTCAAAGGTATAGGTCATTGCATATAAGAACTGAAACATATTTTCTCAATGAACATCTACCCAAGGACCCACTACTCAAAATTGCCCCATTTCTCCCAATCCATTGCTCTTTTTTGTCCTTTCCACCCATCTAATGATCTTTCCCATATCTGAGCACCACTGAAATCAACAGCACCATGTGGGCACAGGAGTCCATCTGTCTCCCAGAACTCTTCTGGGCTGGGACTCTATTTTTGTTTGTTTTGTAAAGTACTAGGCACATATATTGTACTATATAAGATCATTACCACCATCATATCCAGATTTCTGGAAAGAGAGAAAAAGATGCAGCCCCTGCCTAACTGCCTTCCCTTCCCATCCTCAAACTCTTCTCTGATCCCCATCTTTACTATCACTCCTCTGTTACAAGCTGCTTCTATTCATTGCCTCTACTCTGTTTTGAGCCAGCTGAAGGCATTTGCTCTGTAGCAAATTTTGCAGAACTGGCAAGGAATGGGCAACAAAAATCACAATTGGATGATTTTTTCCTATTAATTTACAAGAGTATTTTTCTTTTTTAATCATTGGGTAATTTTGTTGCTGTATATTAATTAGGTTATAAATATACTCTATATTACATCACAGTAACTGCAGTTCAGACTGAAATAGTAGTGAAGTTCAAGGGAATGCCAAATTTTATTTCCATAAGGAGAAATCAGAAGTTAGTTCATTTGTACCCAACAAATTGGCATATATTTCATTAGCAACCATCACTGTAAATATGCTTTTGGTAGGGGGAAAATACAACAGGGAGCTTACACCAGCATAGCAGAAATAGTAGGAAAGAGGAGTGAAATCAGGACACAAAACAGCTTTCTGCTTTCAAGGCTGGGAAGAATAAAGATGCAGCCAGAACTGATATGCCAGGTATCTGTACTGTATGTCCAGTTCACTTATTGCCAATCTCTGAGGGGAAAACAATCTGCCTATCTCCCTCCTCAGGCAGAAATATTTAACTGACTATTGATTTGATGCTCCCAGCGAGGCTGTTTTCCCTGTGCTGGTCTTAACCCTTTGTAAAGCTTGCATTTTTCAACAAGGGTGCAGATGTTTGTGCCATCCTCTGTTCCTCCTACATGTTAAAGGGAAACAAAACAAGTCTTTCCATCAGAAAATTATTGACCATTGGGGAAAACAACAAACAATGAACTACGTATTTGTATACTAAGCAGCTGCCACATGACGAAGCAAGAGAGCAGCAGGAGTTGAAAGCTTTGCTACGCTGGCGACGGCTCAGAGATGAGGTGCAGAACTCTGAAGAAGAGCTGCAGGTATTAAGGTAAAAATACAATGGCATATTCTTTTCCTTTGCACGCGTGTTCTCTCTCTCCCTCCCGCCCATTTTCCCCCCTGCATCCATCCATTTCCCTCCAAAGGAAATACAGCCAAATCATCTGATTACATCTACTGCATTTCCTTATTTCCTTCTGAAGAAAAAAGTACCCTAATTAAATTGAACTAGGTTACTCATCTTCTGCATTATGTGAATTTTTTTTAAAGGGTCAAAAATGTGGGTTTGTGTTTGATATAAAATGTTTCTAAACATTTTATAAGTGCTTCTGTTCAGGAAAATAGCAAGAGGCCATTTCCTGAACAAAGTTCCTTGTTTGAAGCCATAATAGTTGCTTTATATTGTGGTTGAAGACCAGCACAAAGATGAGGTACAGTATCTAACTCAAGTATCAGAGGGGTAGCCGTGTTAGTCTGACCCTCTGATGCCCCTCTTCCTTCCTGTACTCTCTCCTCCTACCCTCCCTATTCCTACTCTCTT